TCTCTAGCCAGCATTAAGAGAGGGACACTGATAGACAGGGTTCATCTCACATTTGATGACCCTCTGCAGATTCCATCTCCCAACACTTCCTGAGAAGCTCCACTCCCAAGTCAGATGTCTTTCTTCACTACCTACAGGTGACTTTTTGAAGGGCACTGGACCAAACTATGCCAAATGGTGGCACATCCAGAACACCACCCAAAGCTTTTAAAAATCCCATGTGGTTTCTATCTCATTCTCAAGGAAAAACCTTAAAAAAAAAAAAAAATCCACTTTCTCAGTTCAGTGCCATTATCAACAAAACCTACCATCCACTGAACTGAAAAAGCTATTTCCAATGTTAAATGAATACTGACATTTTTTCTGCTTATATAAGCCCATAAGGATGTATCTGTTTCAAAGTGTTGTGTTCAATGAACAAGAAATTCAATTTTTAATCAAGGTTAATGTGGTATTATAGATTATAACAATATGCCCCACGGACCTGTAAGAAAAGTCTCAGGTTGTTTGAGTACACAGCTTATTTTCATTGTTATTAAAGACCTTCAGTCTACAACCAAATACTAGAAATCCATAAAAAGGACAGCAAGAGCAATAGCTAACTGGCAATTTGGGGTTTACCACTGTAAATATACTTTAGGGTTATAGCTGAATAAAAATGAATGACTAAAAGGGATATCTTGGTTCTAGTGGTAACTGCATGTTGCCTTCTGCAGTTCAGAGTTGCAAAAAAAAAAAAAAAAGAATTCTGACTGTCACAGCTTTAATAAATACAAGATTAACAAATTACATTTCCCTATGCTGTGTTAATCATAGCTGTCCGTAGCACATTTCAAATCCCTCACGTAAACACGCATCATAATTTCTTTAGAAATTGGTTATCTGAGTTTTAGGATGCCCTTGCACTGAAGTTGAAAGGTAGAGTTAAGGGGTTTTATATATGCAGGAGACCACGAATTTTGCTATCCATCACCACAGGCTATAAAAAAATGACTTGACAAAATCATTTGTTAGGTGAGACAGGCGTAGGAACATAAGACATTATCCAATAGCTGAAATGCAGACATGACAAGGTAATATTAATTGCACAAGACAAGACATTTAAAAGTATTAGCTCAGCATTACCAGTTTATTCGATCCAATTAGGGCTATTCATCAAGGTAAATAACTACTGGAAAACTAATCTTGTATGTTCCTCTGCACACTGCCACAGTGTCCAACCAAAGTGATGGCTCATGCATCCAGATATTTTACTGTTCCATACAACCAACAACAGTTCAGAAGAGAATGGGAGAAGCTTGTGACTTGAATTTAAATTGTCATAAAACACCTGGCAAAAACAGGTCCCATCTTCTTCTAGAAGCAACATGAGATCTTACACCCATATGTATATTAATGAATGTGTTTCCAATGCTTTAATTTACCTTGATGTAAATATTATGACAAACTATTACTCACAAGATAATGCTTTAGGGTTTTTTTCCACCCCACACACTGAATTTTTAATTAGAGGTGACTTCAAAGTGTGGGTACTTTCCACCACGTCAGCCTCCCTTTGTTTGAGGAGAAAGCACATTAAATAAGGATCTTGCTTAAAGTTTTCTCCATGACAAAATGAATTATTAATTAACATGTAGCTAAAAGAATGTTTGCCAGACCAGCAGAAAGATATAAAAAGAAAACAAGATCTGCAGATATTTTTTAAAACATGAATGCTGTACCACAAGGCAGATTTTATGTCTTTCCAGTTCAGTCAATTTAGTCAGTTTATGGGGCACAGAGTCAGTTGCTGGTTTTGATAGCATCATGTTCTACTGTCCTAAACACTATTTAGGGCTGGTTTATCATTGTCAGCTCACAGCCATAATTGAGCTCAAAGAGGTTAAACTGCCCACTGAAATGATGTTTTCCACGGGTATACAACAATTTGAGAACCAAAACATCTCAGTGCTACTTATAGTCTAGTAGAGAATTAAATGTCTAATCCCAACACTAGAAGGTAAAGTCACAGCAGGAGATTAACGACTCTAACAGATTGTTAAACTTTATAAAAACTGGCAGTATGAAGCTACCTGTAACAAAAGTTTACCAAGGAGCACCTTATTCACCTTTTTCTTTTTAATGTGCATTACACGCTGTAGCCAACAGTTTGCAGCTACAGAGCACTCCCAAACAGGTATTAATCGAATTGAAAGAGATGAAAATAAAGCCTTCTCCACTGCAGTTAAAGTGTATCTCCTCCAATATGCTGTGAAATTGAGTTCTGGAGAATAAGGCAGTGACCAGAAGAAGGTACTGCAGTATAGTGCTAAATAGAAAGTCTCAGTTAATTCTGCACACAACACAACCCATGAAGATGTGACCAAAAAATGGTCGACTGAGGGAAGTGGATACTAGTGCCATCAGTTATACCTTGATAGTTTAAGCAGTAAAAAGATTAATATTTAAAGCAAATATCACACTTGGACACCCAAACTACAGATTTCTGGAACATACTACATAAGGTTATTTAAGATTTGAGCTTAAGATAAAAACTCAGCAAGAAAAGCTGTTTCAAAGATTGATCATAATACTTCATATATATTTTTTTTGTGTGTGTGTATGAGCTTTCTTCCCCCTAAAAAGAAGCTTCCCTAGACAGGAAAAGACTGGGGGTTAAATTACTAATGGAAAGCAACCTGAGGTGACAATTTTTGACCAGAAATTTGAAGAACCATAAGACACAAAAATTACTCCTAATTCTAGATCACTACAAAGGATTCCTCAAAATAGTATATTGTTGATATAGAAATTTTAGAGTGCCTTTTCAAAAAAATAAGAAAGGCAAGAACAAGCCTCAGGCTTGATAACAACATTGATGCAGTTATATCAAAACAGAGAAAAGCTTCTAAGCTTGGGGGACAGGCATCCTCATACCCCCCAAACATATGAATGTTATCAGGGCAAGAGCTCTGTCTTACTTCATGTCTGCATAGAACAATAAAATCCCAGTGCTGATTGGAGTGCTGGGATAGTATCAAATATTACTTCTGTCAATGAAGAATGATACAGGGCATTAAAAGGCAGAGGACAGTACAGAGATTACACTCAAAATACATTGGAAAAGCATCACAGAAATACAGGTAGGGACTTGAAGAGGCAGTGGAATGCACAGCAAGGTCAAAATATTCCAAAAGTGAAAGGTAGCAGTTAATTTTCACATTCTGTATGGCTGGGGAGGGCAGAGCTGTGACAAGGAGAACATGGAAGGATGAAGCTGCAGAAGAGGATGTTATATGTGAGAATGAAGGAGGGAAAGATTGTAGGTTACCCCAGCAGAGAAGAAAAGGGATAGTACTTTGATAAATACCCTTGTGAACACTGAGGAGGACTGTAAAGTGTCAAAAAATGTCACTAAGACTGCACGCCTAGAGGCTCTGATGCAAAAGAAGTGTGACAAAGACAAGGGTAATGAGCAAGAATAAAAATCATGGATTAAACAACTGAGAACCACAA